GGGGGGGGGGAGGAGGAGGGAAATGGGAGGCTGGGAGGAGGCAGAAACTTTTTTTTTCTTATTCTCAATAAAAAAAATTTATAGTAAAAAAAAGCTATTGATTCACAAATCTAAAAAAAATCAAAATACATGAAATTCTGAAAAAAAAAGATTACACACAAACTACAGCTTTTCAGAGTCTTCTTGGGAAGTAAGAAGTAGACTGTTAATTTTACAAAATGGTAGTACTGTCATAAAAATACCATTTTGAAGGGAATATCACAGGAACATAATAAAAAAATCAACTCACTAGAGCAAAATAAAGGAAAATCATACAATTCTATTCTAGGGACTTTTAGTAGTTTATTTTCCAATTAAGAATTGTTTTGATTAGATCTAATATGTGGAACTAAGTCAACAATGTGTTCTTTAGCTGTTTCTTATCTCTTCATTTTATGCAAATTTGTCACATTGTCTCAGGTTAAAATTTACTTTTGGTACTCAAAGGGGATCCTCAAAACAAAACACAGAAAACTGATTTTCTACATAGTGGTAATGTTATAGCATACATGACGGAGCAGAAAGATGATGACTTAAGTTATCAGATATGTTCTATGTGCTCACTAGCATCTCGGGTGAGTTTCAGAAGCTGCAGATGGTCTGTCCACATCTTTGGGTGCCTAAGGCTCCTTTTCCAGTTGTTAAACCTCAGAGTTTGAAAAAACATGTATACTCTCTATTCCCACCCAAATTAGGCGCTCTTGTACTCAGACCCCCAGAAGCTGTGTTTCTTTGAAAGGAAGAAGAGAAAATAAGAAACAAATTCAACTTAAATACATTGGAAAATAGAAAAAGGATTTCCATAATGGCTCAAAATGAAAAACTAAGGACTATATATGAAAATTCTGTGTATTTAAATACATTTGTCAAGTTTTTGTCTTCGTAGATTTCTCAGCCTCCTATTTGTGAGTTTATTCATTTACTACAGGGTTTTTATTTGCTTTTGTTTGAGTTCAATATTGCGAGTTTCTTTTTTGCTGGGCAGTAGTATCCATGCCCTTAATTCCAGCACCCAGGAGGCAGAGGTGAGTGAATCTCTGAGATCGAGGCTAGCATGGTCTATATAAGCTAGTTCCAGGACAGGCTCTATAGCAACCAAGGAAACCTGTCTTGAAAAATAAAAGTTTCTGTGTACAGATCATGTTTTTGCTATTTAAAAGTGATCATGAACTGCAGTGAGAGCCAATCAGTTCATTTGAGTTATAAAGAAATGCATGTTTAATGATAAAAATAAAGAAATTCATAACCAAGGATGGAAATAATCTGATTATGTAAAATATCCATGGGAATTACATTAAAATATATTAACATATTTTCTGCCAATATCCATCTTTAATGAACACAAAGAGTAAGGCTATTATACTACAGTCAATTGTTCATTGCCTTTTTATTGATTTTGGATTTTCCCTAAACTTAACGGTGTTTTAAGAGAAATGATGTACATGAAAACATTCATAGTCATTGAACTATCGAGTAATTAATCTTGCTGTGTATAGTGATGAACAATGCGAATGGATCAGAAGTGACTGATGTTTACGGGCATTATCCACAGATGCAGGTAAAATTCCCGTTGTTACCTCCATGTTTCTGGCAGTGTTCTGAGAGGGTAATTTTAATTAAGTCATAATTTCAGTTTACTTCTGTGTTTTCACCGAGAAATAATTTTTCTCTCAGTCTCTAAAACTACGCTGTTTCAAAAACTGCCAAATATTAAAATTAAGAATTTGGTACATTTAGTATTTTCCTCAGCTGTTTTTGGTTGTGTTCGCTTAATGACTGATTTCTGTTTCCTTGTATTTCTTTGAAATTTTAATCTCTGCAGGTGCATAGGCTCAAGTATTGAAGATTGCATCGGCCTGATGGATAGGTACTTGGTGTGCTTGCTTCTCATGTTCTTCCTCCAAGGCTCCATGCGTGAGCACTGGTGCATGTGTGTGCATGCCACTGTGGATGGAGAGTGATGTTTTCTGTTCTGTAATTGCTTGCAGGTGTAACGGTCCCACTAGTCATGACTGCATTTACTACCCATGGACGGGCCATTCCACTTTACCACAACATGCTAGGTAACATCAACCATGTTTCCATTTTATCACTCAAATTCTTTCCTTGTTACCACCGACAAAAATACTAACCAATTGGACTATAGTTTAAGTCCATTAAATGAGAGTTACAACAGAATGGAAAATGCTTTGCTTTTAAAATCATTTATTCATTTTACCTTCATTTGTTAGGATTTCAGAGTTTTGAGTAGTAATGGCATTGATTTTAAATTTTATACACTTAAAAATTAGTAATTATAACTTCAAAAGAATATTCTTAATCTTAGATATAATATAAAAACTAAAAATTCATAAAGGAGAAATTTGAGAATGTTAATTGATACTTATAAAATGTTAGTTATATAATTTAAATTTAATATCTGATTTTGTGTTATTTTGAAATGTTATATTTCCAGATGAAAAATTATCATAGAATCAATGAAATTTGAAAAATATTTTGTGCATGTTAAACCATATATTGGAATTATAATAACATAATATATTATTCATGTTTACACAAATTTCTGAGCACAAATAATTGCAGTCGTTTTAATCATAAACAACAAAAACTGGAAGCAAGCAAGGCTATCCTATTGTGGTGTACCTGTGCACTGAAATATGCCTGAGTAATAAAAAGGAAGAAATTGATGCTACACACACAGTGGATGGATCTCAAACTCACTACGCTGAATGAAAGAAGCCAGACTGTCAGAAATACATATTGCTTGATTTCCTTTTTATATCAAACTCTGGAAAAGATAAAAATACAGAACTAAAATTCAGTGAGAGTTGCCAAAAACTAAAATTTTAGGGGTAAAGTTCACTGTGGATAGTAAAACAGACTTTTGCAGATGATGAGTCAATCTCCACTTTTATTTTGGTATTGGTTGCACAGATAAAAATGCTTGACACAAACCATGCCTTATAGATTTTATTATAAATTATATAAATCTGTGGTTTATTGTTTATACATAAATAAACATGATTTTAAAATATTTTGTGAAACATTTTAACTAGGAAAGTAGTGCTTTGCAACTTCATATAGAAATACTATTAGTTTTCAAAAACAAATACATTTGATCATTTTGCAAATACTACAGCAAAGTTAAAAACAATGAGAATTTTAGATTAAGTGTTGCTTTTAATAAAATGTTTTTTGTTATCATATGACAATGAAGCATTTGTAAAACATAATCATCAGATAAGAAGCATAACAATAGCAATAGATTTCAGGAGCTGCCTTTATAAGGGCTTGCTTGCCATTATTCTAAATTCTAACACCTAAAACAGTTTGTCTAGTGTTTCCATCTTATTCAGTCTTAATATAGTCTTGTTCTATGCATCTGGCTACTTTCACTAAATATTACATGTATAAGATTCATCAATGTCATCGAATCCATTCACAGCTTTTCCATTCATTTGCCTTTAATTGCTTCTAAGTTTTAAAGTGGTTGAATAATTGATGTGTCATCTTCATGTGTTGTCTGTTAAGTAGTGATGACAAGTTCTAAAGTAAATTAGGTGTTTAGAGCAACATGGCTTATACAACAGTGGCACATTGATACTTGGGCTGGTAAAACAAGTTAATGTAGTTGTCTTAAGACAGCTGAGGACTTTGACAGCTTTAACGAAACTAAGAGAAGAAAAAAGAGAAGCAATGCATGGGAGTTAAGACAGAAATCCAAGTCCAACTTTGTCTTTCAAGAGTTAACTTGGATTCTTGTCATGTTCATAAACTAATATTTCTTCTTCAGACACTGACTGGGTCCCTGAACTATCATGGGAATGATTTTCCATTTATTCATATGAATTTACTTATAACTTAATCTAATATTTTACCACATAGTGATTAAAGTATTTTGCCTTTGAAATCGTATTTTCAGATTTAAAATCAAGCTCTCATCATTTTTAGACATGCGACTTGAAGGTCCTTATGTTATCTGAGGGGCACAGTTTCATGTGCACAGTGGCAACATTTATGTAGTTCCTAAACTGCTCTGAGGACTACATGTTTCCTTGGTAACAGTGCTTAGCTTATAGAACCCACTCATTTGTTTTATACTTTTCTATATAACATTATCACTATTTTTTTTGTATAACCAGGATTCTCCAACCTCAGAAATGTGAATTCCTGCTTCTCAGGGGAAAGAGAGAAGTCTCTCAAAGTCACCAGAAAGCATTAATGAGTACTGATGCCTTCTTGATGGCTTTCTTGAGAGAAGGGGGCTATTTCTGTCACTTTGCCTTGAGAATCAGGGAGAGGACACTTGGTCATTGGGAATAGGTGGAGAGTAACAGTTCATTTGTAGTTGCAAATGATTTTAACTGATGTCACACAATTCAAAATCGTAATGTGTCTAGTTATAGATTTAATAAGTTACGAATTTAAACAAAATGATTAAATTTTCAATCTTATAACATGCCTGGATTTCCATGAAATAATCCATAATTTCAGACTAATACAAATAATTATCCATGTCATCAGTAGATACCCAAGGCTAGAAATAGTAAATGACTGTAAAATACAGTACATCATTCCTAAGAGAAGTCACTTGTAACTCTGCTAACCAGGTAAAGAGCAAAGTTCGTCGGTGTGAACACATGGTTTCAATATGGGTCCTATCTTATTTCTTATCCATGAAATTGGATGATACTATAAAATTAGTTTGAGAATTCTATGAGACAACACATAGATACCATCCTGGACTAAACAGTCACTGACTACACTTGTAGCTGTGACTGAAATATTGACATCATCTCAGAACAATTGTATTGACCTATTTGTATTTTAATCTAATAAGTTAGTGAATACAGAATCAACATATTAAAATTTTTCAGATATTAATCATTTACTTTTTACATCAGATTATCACCCAGGGCCATGATTTCAATAGGTAATTGGTAACTTGCAGCTAATTATTTTTTATCTGAAACTCTAGATGTATTTACTCCATGTCTGTTTTATAACTTTGAAACAATGTAACTGTATTTTTCAATTGTGTTGAGTTCTCAGAGTTATGTGACCTGTCAGGGGCTGCACATATGATAGTTAAGAAGGTCCATAAAACATTTATTTTTAATTCTTTGGAGTATTTGACTTACATTGGATGAAAACTTGGAGTAGTCAGATTTTCCCTCAGGTTCCACATGTCTATGATGAGATGAATATGCATTCATGAAGCATATTATCCTTCACTAAGATCTCAGCACCTTTTCCATCTTTCAGAAACATTGATAGTTTTAGAAATGTCCATCTTGATTGAGTAACGCAAATATTTCATAGTGGAAAGACCCAGAAATAAGACAATGGGAAATGAATATTTTCAGCGTCCTAATCCACCTTTTAATTGGTACAGCATCCAAATTCTTAGTTTTGTATTGTTGTCACTGAAAATTACGTTGAGCATGCCAACGTTGTTTCTTCAAAATATTTATAGGTAGTACTCCCCACTGCCCCACTGTTTTTGTTTCTGTGTTCTGTTTCCTAACCCTGCAGGGAAAAGAGGACTGGAGATTTAAATGAGAGCAGGTAAAATGTTTCTGATCTTGATTGACATTCATTTTCAAAGCAGTGTCATTTTTTCCCGAAACTTGCAATTTGTAAATTGGTTTTCCACACTCCATTTACCTTACAAGCCATTGCTGGAGTCTCTTCCAGGAAGAATGGTGAGATATGCTAAAAAAGATATAAAGACTCTGTTTTGTATCATAGAATATCCTACTTACATGGAAAATAAAATCAGTAATTATCTATTCTTTCTCTCATTCACATTTTCTAATCTAATTAATGCCTGAATATAACATTTACTTTGAGCAACCTTTTCCCAAATTTTTACCTTCATTATTCTGGTTTCCTCCCAATAACACCATGGAGAATTGTGTTTTTCAAGACTCTTTATTTTTGTGTGTGACATTTGTCTTAGCTAGCACACAGGCTACTTTCATATAGATTCCTTTTGATATAAAAATATTAGATTTATTCTTGGATTCTTTGTCAATATATATGAAATATATGAAAAACTGGAATAGCCTACTCTCATATAGCACGAGGCATGAGTGTGTTAATCAGAACAATAATTAACTCTCTTGTTGAGGAATTTCTCCATGTTAGCTAGCAAAATGTAAACTAACTATAAATTCATTTTACTTTGTTGGATAAAAATATTGAAATAGATATAAAAATACATACTAGATTACCTGTTCCTCTATTCTTAACTGGCCTAGCTCTTTGTTCTAATTAATTTATTTTATATATTTTGCAATATGTAGTACAATAACTGAATTTATTTTCTCTAAGTCTATAGTGTAGAACTATTTGAAACATTTCCAACTTTTATGGTCATAGTCACACTTTCCGTTATGGTACAGTGAGGGTTGCCCAGGAGGTCACATGACAGTTTAGGCTTTGTCAAACTGACCTGTTTGTGATGGAGATGAAGAAATGGCAGTACAGTCCGGGTACCACTTACATGTGACACCTTGAATTGCTTTGTTTTCTCCCAAGGAAGCGAGTTCAGAATTTATGTACAGATCACATGCTGCAAATCACCTATAAATGGTGACCTTTGAGAGAGGTAGTTATAATTAATGGTGCCCAAATACAATAAATAAAAGTGCATAGTTTTTTTTTATTAGAAGGCTATCTGCATTCCATTGCATTCTGTATGTTACATTCTCTTCAAATAAGCAAGCCAAGAGATGAAGGGAAGGGTGTGACGCTCTTCCTTTCCTGTGATTCACGCCATGCTTTCCATAACCAGTGAAATGTCAAAACAGTCTCAGAATTAGCAAGGGCTTCATAAAGTTTCTCTGCTCACTTCTTAACTATTGCTTATGTAGCTGAAGAGGCTACTTAAAAAAAAAAGAATTTAAGCACTTTCAAGATGCTCAAGTGGTTTCCATATTGATATCAAAATGTTCATACCACAGTATCAAAGCTTTCCAGACACTGGAAATATCGCTGTATTCAAGATTAGCAAGCATAAAAAAATGTTACAAACTAATCCATATTCACTACTGAAAGT